AAATTTGGAACATCCAATTAGATGCAGCCAAACACTTGATAGACAATCCGGATCTAAACGAACGGCTCATGATGTCCGACAAGGAGTTTGAAAAACAATTTGCTAACCAACACCACATCGATAACAAAGGGCTTGACGACAAAGTCAAGCGCTTCGGCTCGAATCCCAAGACCCGACACATCGATCTCAAGACCAAGGGTATTCGCCAAGAGGTCAAGCACAAGTCCATCCGAATCAATCTCATAGGAACTAAGCAAATGGTCGCTGATTCTCTCACAAAGGCGGCCTCCAAAGACTCAATTCTCAGCTTAGTCAAGACAATGGATCCCACCTTCGAGTCATCTTAGCTCAACTCTCACCAGTCATGGGGAGTGTTGGAATTACTCTCCAAATTCTCTAGTTCTCTGAGTGTCCTGTGACACCTTGCCTTTCACAGTACCTGTTTCCCTTTCCATTCCGTCTCTTATTTCTCTTCTTCTTTATTCCCTTTCAACCTCTGAACCATTCACCCGCTCAAACCTCAAACCTCAAACCTCTCAACACTCAACTCAATCAAACCAACAACTCAATCTTCAACCTCCATCTCCCAGCTCTCTATAAACCTGACATCACTTCTGCCTGGTGAGACTCGAACTCAAGCATCTTCAACCATCCAACACAACTAACTCTTCTTTTCAGTTCCTTCAATCTTTCCTTCCTCCTTTCCCGGTCTCCCGTCTCTGCTCAATATTTCACTCAACCTCCTCATGTCATCACGTTGGTTCTTCTTCTCTTTTCTTCTCATCTCACTTCTTGTGTTCTTTTTCTGATTCCTTCTTCATAGTGTGTTGGCTCTTGTTTGCGTAATCAAAATCTCAATTCACAGATTCTTTACGGTTAAAAGCCTACCAACCGGAGGAATACGACGCAAGAGCCAGCGCAGGGACATAGGACGAGGACGTTAACTTTGCGCGAGCCGTATGGTGGACGTTAATCCTATCGTAAATCCGATGGCGTTACCAAATGTGCACGACGGCTTTCGACAAGCCATGCTTAAGACGGCTCTGGAGACAATTCCACAACTGACCGAGGAAAATTACTCGATATGGAAGGATAAGATGACCGCACTCCTAAAGCTACGGGGGGTCTTTGCCAAGCTCGATCAAACTGTAGTACCTTTAGGAGAAGCGGATGATGCAGAACTTACATTACTCATCATCTCAAAAATGGACAGCGTAACACACAATAATGTGGTTACGGCCGATAACCGAGGATCGGCGCAGAAGATGTGGGCCGCGATCAAAGAGCGTTTTGCTTCCTCTCAAGCTTCAAACAGGGCGAGGATCTTCAACGACTTCCTCTACATCAGATTTCAGGAGGATTGCGTTGAAACCTTCGTTACGGACGTTAAAGTGGCCATCAAAAAGCTGGTCGATGTCGGGATAGATCTGCCACAAGATATTCTGGCATACCTGGTTCTCTTCAAATTTCCAACATCGATGCAAATTCTAAAACGGCAAATAATGCATTCGGACAAGGAACTCAGTGTCGAATTTGTTTGTAATCACCTAACTCAGTTCAACAACGAATCAAAAGCAGAGATAAAGGAGTCCTCAACGTCTACTAGCGAAGCGGCAGCCCTGTTTTCGAACAAAGACCGCAAATCTGGGAGCAAACAAAATGGAAACGGGTCAAAAAGATGTCGGAGCGGGTATCACAATCCCAAACAGGACCCGAATCATAACAGCGATTCCTGTTGGCACCTTCACCCGGATAAAGCCCCCGAGTGGTGGAGGGACTCTCAAGCGCAATGGAAGGCGAGCAAGGAGAGTAAAGAGAAGACAGAGAATTATTTTATGTCTCTCTTGACTCTTTGGATAGAGGCGGGTGATCCCAAATCAAGAATTATCCTTGACAGCGGCGCGTCTGGACATATCTTCAACGACTTGAAATTCTTCAATACGATCGAAACTGGGGAATTCGATTTCATCAAAACTGGGAAGAAAGACGCGACCCTCCCAATCAAAGGAAAAGGTTCAGTCACACTAACCTGGGGAGGGCGAACTATTCAGCTCAAGGATTGTCTATATGTGCCCGACATTGTCATCAACCTTGTCAGCGCGGGTCAACTTTGTCTCAATGGATGCTCGCTCTATTCAACCAAGGACAAATTCAAGGTCGAAAAATCAGAGAAAATAGTTCTAGAAGGAAGGATCTCGAATGGACTATTCTCAATCCAAAATCCAGATTCTGTTGGCTCCGAGAATATTGCAAATCTATCGGAAAGCCCAGAATCCCTTCAAGACCTTCACGAAAAGTTTGGACACNTGTTTGCTATTGGGGATTGAGAAAGATACTCACCAATCTAGCAGTTTTCCGCAGTGAAACCCAAGGGTACTCGACACACATTGGAGAAGAACACTCAGTTACCTATTGAGGCAGTTTTCTTTCCACAATGGCTAATTGGTGATTACATAAATACATAGGTGAGGTGTTGTGATTACATAAATACATAGGTGAGGTGTTGAATCAGCTCCCAATGTTGCTGCACAGTCAAAGGCTTGCAGGGTGTGAAACTTTGCAATCTGTGCTGATTCATCAGATGATGCTGTGGGCCGCAGCAACACGCAAATGCCCGTGGTGTGGGGCAGCCGGTGCACCATTCAGGTTCAAACCAACTGCGCTGCAACGACTGCGGCCACCAAAGCAGTCAGATAGATCAGGGTGCTCAGACAGCATGAGTTTTTGTCAAGCATAGCTGGTGGGGTGGGCCAACAGGGCCATGTGGCATAGATTTCCAAAAAGATGAAACAGATAGTGTAAATGTAGACAATGTTATGAGTTTGCCAAGAGGTACCAGAAAAACAATACCAAATCCATCTGGAAGTTGTTTCTCTTGGGTATGAGGAAAATAACTTTGGTAGGAGTCCTTCAACATAGCAGTGCTCAGGGTGCCTCCTTATTGTTCCAAACAGCTGCTTCCATCACAGATTGGGTGAATCTTGCAGGCTGGTGGCACTGCCACATGTCAAAAACAGAAAGTTTCTGTTAAAAGAAAAAGATGATAAGTCATACTTAAACTATTCTTATTTGAACAAACCCAAACAATTGATTTGACATTTTTTTGTTTTGACCTTGTTTGAAAAATTCCACCTTGCTTGCTTTTGAACTTGCTCAAGCTCCATGACATCATCTTCTATTCTTTCTTCTCACTCCGTCTGCATGCTCTTCATCATCATTTACAAATTCATACAGTCCTATTCTATATTCATCCACAAAACATCCCAAATATTGGGAAGTATCTCTGCACAAAAATTTCACATGCTAGATATTTAGGAAGTAAAATGGAGTCAAGTTTCCTAGAAACAGCTTCTCAAAACATGGAAAAATATATTGATATACATACCTGACAGTTGAGAATCATGGATCTGTTTTCAGATTGAGAAAATTAACTGAGAGAAGACAGTCTGTGAAGTTCTACAATGATATGTCAACCAGGAAGCAACCAGGTGTCCCTCACTCCCTGATTATTATCAAGTTCTCTTCTGAACCCAGAAAGAGCCTGTGCACAAGAACACAAGCCTATGGGGAGATATAAATTCCATTTTTTCCCCTATATCCTTGCCATGCAAAACTGAAATTTATGTTGGTTATTTAATTTCAAAGGTAGGATACCACAAACTTATCATAATTTAATTCCTCAGGTATTCATGCTGTTCTCTCTGAGTAAACCATATTTATGGACAGCTTACCAACAATACAAAACCAGCTGTACCCCAAGGCAAGAAAAAAGGACATGAGAAAAATACATATGTAAATCAGGAAGTAGAGATAATAGTATTGAGATTAACATTTTATTGCCAAGAATAAAAACCAGACTACAAAAAAGAAAGGATAGAAAAGAAATCAGAAATATATAGAGGAAAAATACAAGTTAAGAAGAGAACAGTTACTGCAAAGTTGTTCAATGAATATGAGAAGAAAACTGAAGAAGATTCAAGTAAGATGGAGGACACAGGAGAATGAATACAAAACATACCAGGATTAGTAAGAAGTTTTTTTTTATTGCAATTTGATAGCGAATTCTCACCAAGTTGAGTCAAGACCGTTTTGAAGTTTTTACGAAGATTGAAGTAGTCAACAAAGTCAAAGAGTTTTTTATGCAACAAATTTTTGAGTTGAGAGTGAAGTAAGATTAGTTTGAAGTGGAGTGAGATAGTGAAATTGAGAGAAGTGGTGTGAGATAGTAAAGTGAGAACAGGAAGAATGGAGAAAATAATATCTACAAGGGACAAAGGATATTGAACAAGTGGAAATGAAGGATGTGTACTGTGGGACTCAAACCAGCATTCATGGGTGATGCTCTAACCTGCATTAAGCTCAGTACACGTTGCTAATGTGTTGGTTTGTGGAGTACATTACTTATGTACAGCTTGTGTGTGGTATTTTGCCTCCAATTCTGTGAGGAAGTCTCACATGGATGTATTATCAAATGTGTATTGAGCAGTGCCGAGTTTGACACTTCAACAGGAGAATGGAAAACTCATGCTTGTGGCTAGAAGGCTCCTCCTCCATTGCACTTCCTTGTGAGACATCACATGTGGCATCAAGACAGTCAGAATCTTCTATCATTAATGTTGGATGAGGTTGGATTATTAGTAAGTCTTCAGCGCTGGGAGGTGGCTGTACTTTGAGAGCTGATCCAGTCAATGAAGGAGAAGAATGCAGAGCAGCTTTCTCCTCACCCACCACTTTAAAATTTTGTCAATAGTTTCAATATGATCTGGCTCAAGATCCAGCAGGCAATATATGGCTTGATTATGATGATGATGAAGGGGAGGAGAGAGCTGTTGAAGAGCAGTGGGTGCTTATGAATGTGGTATGTTGGCATTGCAGGAATGATTTGTGGCAGTTTTGGGGCGCTCTGAGCTGGTGGTGCAGGTCAGTCTGGAAGCTGGAAGAGAGCACAGTTGGTCAGAGACCAGCTCGTACGGCAAGGAGGTGCAAAGGACCAAAAGAAGTGAACACAGCCGGGGTCGAACCGACGATCTCTCGCTCCCGAGGGAGAACTCATCCTACATCGAAGGCGAGCGCCTTACCACTGGGCCATGCGTCCGTTATGCTACACGGCCCGACTAAATTGTTATGCAGACCCAAGCAATAAGGATATACTTTCAATTCAAGACCAAGCAAGTCAAATGGTTGACGATGATGTGGAAGCATGGCAGCCAGAGATCAGAACGCGTCAAGTGCTCGCCCAGCCTTGGCGTCGGAGGAGTCTTCGAGCGGAGCAGAGTGAGAGGTGTTCCTGGGGGCTCACGCCAAAGAAGAACAGGGATGACTACGATAGCGAAAAATGTATAGCGGTGGTTGCGCAGATCAAAAAAAAAAAAAAACCAAGCCCATATCACTGCTCCTTTCCTATACTCTTTCACTCTCTTTGCGTCGAGTGAGTCCAAGAGCTAACAAGAAAGAAGTACCCTGCTAACCTGCCAACGCTTGGTGCATCTCTATTTAAGGACATTTGTGTTGAAAATTAACAAGGTGAAAAAAAGAAAAAAGAGATGTATGTTGTTTGTCACAAGCGATGAATTGAAGAAAAGGTAAACCACCGAAAAGAAAAGAAAAAGAAGGCAAGGAAGACGGGATAGCATCGAAGAAACAAGCTTTTTATGGGGGAGGTGTGTTCTAATGTTTGGAAGGAGTGGAGGGAGGGGGGTTGTAGACGATCTTACGACTCTTGACGGAGGCCCATTTGAGTCTCTTGACCCAGATACTGAGGGCGGTCAAGGTGGTCAAGATGATCACCGTTTGGAACCCCATCTTCTTTCGCTGATCGAGCTCAGGCTCCGCCGCCCAATTCAAAAATGTCACCACATCCTTCGCCATTTGGCTGGTGGTGGCCGGCGTTCCATCTGGATAGTCCACTATTCCATCATACAACACTCGTGCCATCCCGATGGCTCCACCGGGGAAGTAAGGGCTGATCAAGACGAAATCAAAGAGTGCAGGAAGTTAGCACTGCCACCACTTTGGTTGGATGTGGCTCCGAGTGATTTTTCAGACAACTGACTTGTAGTTCAACCCCTCCCGGATTTCAACTCCAGCAGGGGGGTCAACATATCCGGTCAAAAGCGACATGATGTAGTCCGCGCCACCGTGACGGGCCTTGACGATCAAACTCAAATCCGGGGGTAAGGCACCAGCATTGGCTGATCGAGCCGCCTCATCATTGGGGTATGGCCGTGGCATGTAATCGGCCAATTTACCTGGTCTCATGAACTTGTTACCTTCGTCATCGGGCCCATCTTCGTATTCCACTTCCGCTGCCATGGCTGTAAATGTTCATCCAGATGCGCAAGAAAGAAAATAATGAAGCCAGAGAGGGTCAACAACAGTCGAGCTTGGTGGTTCTTCCCACCCTCAAACCGTAAAATGGAAGACAGCTAGAAACATATGATGATATGGCTAACCTTTGACCTCATCAACCGTATGCGAGACACCAACCAAATTTCTCCATGCAATTCGGTCAAGAGAGTGACAGGCTGAGCATACTTCGCGATAGACTTGATAGCCGCGTCGAATGCTGTTGTTGTGGGTAGACAATCATCAAACCACAAAGTGCCAGTAATTGATGTGAGTTGGCAATCAACACGCGTGGTATTTTAAGCAAGAAAAAAAGTCTTGACTGACGCAGCATGATCAAAAGTTTCAAAGGGCCCTTTGTGTGGCCATGCATATGAAGGAGGGTGTAAGCCGTGCTCGGCAGCAGTCATGGCCTTTCGAAATAAAAAATTCTCTCGAATCAGTTAGTCTGTCTTGCGAGACATCCACCAGGACCAATCAATGATCGCCAGATGACAAGTGACATCAGGCTACTGAATTGATTCAATTCAGTAGCCTCATGTCACCTGTCATTAGGCGCTTATTGATTGGTCCTGGTGCATCGGAGTAACTCTTTTTCCTGATGTCGATCGAGCGACGGTGACGTTTGTGATTGCATGAGAGGTAGAAAGAGGAGGCCAACCTTGGCTTCCGATAGAAATGGAATTCCATATAGTTGAGTGTACCAGGTGATCGAGCCTGCGGCTAGAATAGATGATACAGCAGCGGCTGTTCGAGAAGTGAAGATGGACTGAGTTGAAAAAAAAAAAAAGGACAAGGATGTTAGTGTGGTATATAAAAAGATGGGCCAGCATGAAAATGGACAATTTCCCAATGCTACTCTTTCGAGCAGGGGAAGTGCGATAGGTAGTTGAAGGGGGCATGGCTTCATTCCAAGTGAGACGAAGCCAAGACCGCAGGGTGGTGTGATGGATGCAGTGAAACAAGTGAGTGAGTGGATATAGGAGGGTTGAATGAGTCGACTGACATCAGGTTGAGCGGTGGTTGAGGCACTGCGATTGAAAGTTTTCCTGTTGAGGTTGGCTTTCAAGTTATTAGTGAATTGTTGTCGAGTATTATTGTTGGATACGTTCTTGACCAGGTTAGAGAATACGAATCGATTCGAGGGGAAGGCCATGTCTCTCTATGCTGATGTTCTTCTTTTCGGTATCGCTATCGCTGGATGATTCGTCCACGAGTTTTTACGACGCAAGTTGTTGTTTGTGTGTGGTTCTTGCTGTGGCAGACAACCCCGGTTCCGTTCAGCAACCCGGTCGATTACCCGGTGGTACTCGAAGCTGCCCTCGGGTAAGCGCGGCAGAGATCGGGGACCAATGACAGTCTATAATCCTAATTTCTGCCCGACTTTCTGCCCACCAATCACGAGCCGGATGAAACCAAATCTAAAAAATGCGTGACATATTAGGAAGAAAATCTGTGATAACTCAGTCATGTGACATCTAGGCTGTGGCCTCAGAGGGCGTCGGACTCGGACTGGCGGATAGACCTGATCATGCCGGGGAATGCCCGGCCGCCGCCGGTGCAATCAGTCGGATCGGGCCGGTTGCATATGTGGTCTCAATTCAAGGCATGGTGCTCGGCAGTTTCGTCATCATCAGTCCACAAGCTAGCTCCAGTCGGAGTCGGCAGTGAGACTCGGCTCAGAGGCATGCTCACTACTCCTGACAAGGAACCCGTCGCAGCCTCAACATACTATTTTGGGTTGGTGTAATCGACGAGGAGATTCCTATCCCGGTCCGATGAGGGGTTTTGTTGAAGGATAGCAGCATGTCATCGGTTATGGGCCGCGATTTAGGAGGCACATCCATCACAACAGACTCATCCCTGCTTCAAGCTCCACATAAAAACGGCATGTTTTCCGGGGAAGGTAAGACGGTGTGACCTTCCGTCCTCCAAGTTACGAAAGACTTGTCATCTTGCCCTGCCGCATCCAGATATACACCTGCTTCATCGTCCTCAAGTCCGCGAATTCTAATAATACTTGCCTGCAGAGTCATTCCTGGACGGGACTGCAGGGCCGAAACATCCATCCATGTGAGCCGCAGGATCAGAAATCAAGTGACCATCTCTTGCTCTCTCCTCCATTTGCATCTAAGCAACATTTCCAAATACAGTCCAAGTACAACCCCCACTTTATAGGTCCTTCTTTTTATAGGGCTTATTAATCGACTTGACATGACCACCACTTATTCCCTATAAGATTGCTACTTGTCCCCTCCATCCGTGCCAAACTCTCTTCTGTGCGCTTTGTTCCAAGAGACAGCATGTCTTCAATCAAAACCTCAATCAACCGAGATCATTTCAGGTACACCCTGCATGATTTCCGTGAACACATCAAGTTAGTCTTTCGACTCTTCTCCTCCTCTTCTGTAGCTCACAAATCAGGCTGACATCTCCCATCATTATAACCCCCACAGGAAAGACTTGGTCGCCGCCTGTGGAGAGTTCCTAGGGACCGTCACGTTCCTGCTTATCGGCCTTGGTGGCATTCAAGTAATTCTTTCATCTTGGTTTTTATCGCCAGTGCAATGTGGCGCTCTGCATCGACTCATATCTCTCTGCCTCCCCTTCCTCTCTCATTTGTGTCGCAGGCTGCAGCCACCTCCAACGCCGCCTTCACTAAACGCACTTCTCAAAATGTCAACCAAGCGGGAGATGCCAGCACCGCCGTTCCCAGCATTGAGGTGATCTTCTCCTTCCATGACCTTATCATCGAGCGTTTCAAAGGTTCTACCGATCCACTAATGGTCCTTACTTTTACCGTAAAATTGAAATATTATAGCAATTAAGCTTTATCGCGATTTCAATGGGACTGAGTCTGTTATTTTCAGCATGGATTTTCTATCGAGCAACCGGTGCTGCATTCAATCCGTTTGAGTCACACATTCCATACTTTCTTTCTTCTTGACGATATTTTCCCCCGAAATAAACAGATAAACGAAACTAAAGGAAGAAGACTTGGGCTATTCTAGGAATGTGTCGTTTGCCTTACTGGCCATCGGAGCAATCAAACCGATGAGATTTCTGCTCTATGTGATTGCCCAATTTGCGGGTGCGATCGGTACGTGATAGCCAGCTGAATCAACGTCACGGCGGATCTATGATTGATGTCTAACAAATATGAACTTATCTCTGGCCGGTGGGGTTTTCAAGTTGCGAGTGGGTTGTTGAAGCTCTTACTACCAGGCCCGTTGACGATAACGCCTGCACTGGGCGCCGGCACGACGCAGGTGCAAGGCGTCTTCATCGAGGCGTTTATCACCGCTGCCTTGGTCTTGTCCGTCCTGTTCCTGGCCTGCGAAAAACATAAATCTACTTTCTTGGCCCCGGTCGGCATCGGTCTGACCTTGCTTGCTGGCCATTTATTCGTGAGCTTCTTTTTTCCTCATTATGTTATGGCCCCCTTCCGACCTTGCTGATCAGTTGTGTAGGGCGTCGTCTTTACCGGAGCTTCCATGAACACAGCTAGGGCGTTTGGGCCGGCGGTGTTTACAGGCTTTGAGAGCGACCATTGGATTTATTGGTAAGACGGGAAGAAAGTACCAGAATTTATATAGTAGCGCAGAAAAGAGTCTGATCATAATTCTATATGTAATTATAGGGTTGGACCTACGCTGGGATCTCTGTTAGCGATAACGATATACCTGACGTTGAAGTGGCACAAATACTGGCTGCTGAACGAGGGACAAGACACGGATGAAGCATGCAAGT